GTAACATTGCTTCACATTTTATACCGGTACGGATTTCGCAGCTTCCCGGGCTCACAAACGCCCTTATATGGGGACGGTTTTCCGTGCGGCGGGCCCGTTTGAAGGCAAAAAGAGCTGGAATCTCGTCCCAAGGTATCTAGGATTGTGGCAAACACGATCGTGCTGGGCGGTCCAGGATCCGAGTAACATTGCTTCACATTTTATACCGGTACGGATTTCGCAGCTTCCCGGGCTCACAAACGCCCTTATATGGGGACGGTTTTTCCGTGCGGCGGGCCCGTTTGAAGGCAAAAAGAGCTGGAATCTCGTCCCAAGGTATCTAGGATTGTGGCAAACACGATCGTGCTGGGCGGTCCAGGATCCGAGTAACATTGCTTCACATTTTATACCGGTACGGATTTCGCAGCTTCCCGGGCTCACAAACGCCCTTATATGGGGACGGTTTTTCCGTGCGGCGGGCCCGTTTGAAGGCAAAAAGAGCTGGAATCTCGTCCCAAGGTATCTAGGATTGTGGCAAACACGATCGTGCTGGGCGGTCCAGGATCCGAGTAACATTGCTTCACATTTTATACCGGTACGGATTTCGCAGCTTCCCGGGCTCACAAACGCCCTTATATGGGGACGGTTTTTCCGTGCGGCGGGCCCGTTTGAAGGCAAAAAGAGCTGGAATCTCGTCCCAAGGTATCTAGGATTGTGGCAAACACGATCGTGCTGGGCGGTCCAGGATCCGAGTAACATTGCTTCACATTTTATACCGGTACGGATTTCGCAGCTTCCCGGGCTCACAAACGCCCTTATATGGGGACGGTTTTCCGTGCGGCGGGCCCGTTTGAAGGCAAAAAGAGCTGGAATCTCGTCCCAAGGTATCTAGGATTGTGGCAAACACGATCGTGCTGGGCGGTCCAGGATCCGAGTAACATTGCTTCACATTTTATACCGGTACGGATTTCGCAGCTTCCCGGGCTCACAAACGCCCTTATATGGGGACGGTTTTCCGTGCGGCGGGCCCGTTTGAAGGCAAAAAGAGCTGGAATCTCGTCCCAAGGTATCTAGGATTGTGGCAAACACGATCGTGCTGGGCGGTCCAGGATCCGAGTAACATTGCTTCACATTTTATACCGGTACGGATTTCGCAGCTTCCCGGGCTCACAAACGCCCTTATATGGGGACGGTTTTCCGTGCGGCGGGCCCGTTTGAAGGCAAAAAGAGCTGGAATCTCGTCCCAAGGTATCTAGGATTGTGGCAAACACGATCGTGCTGGGCGGTCCAGGATCCGAGTAACATTGCTTCACATTTTATACCGGTACGGATTTCGCAGCTTCCCGGGCTCACAAACGCCCTTATATGGGGACGGTTTTCCGTGCGGCGGGCCCGTTTGAAGGCAAAAAGAGCTGGAATCTCGTCCCAAGGTATCTAGGATTGTGGCAAACACGATCGTGCTGGGCGGTCCAGGATCCGAGTAACATTGCTTCACATTTTATACCGGTACGGATTTCGCAGCTTCCCGGGCTCACAAACGCCCTTATATGGGGACGGTTTTTCCGTGCGGCGGGCCCGTTTGAAGGCAAAAAGAGCTGGAATCTCGTCCCAAGGTATCTAGGATTGTGGCAAACACGATCGTGCTGGGCGGTCCAGGATCCGAGTAACATTGCTTCACATTTTATACCGGTACGGATTTCGCAGCTTCCCGGGCTCACAAACGCCCTTATATGGGGACGGTTTTTCCGTGCGGCGGGCCCGTTTGAAGGCAAAAAGAGCTGGAATCTCGTCCCAAGGTATCTAGGATTGTGGCAAACACGATCGTGCTGGGCGGTCCAGGATCCGAGTAACATTGCTTCACATTTTATACCGGTACGGATTTCGCAGCTTCCCGGGCTCACAAACGCCCTTATATGGGGACGGTTTTTCCGTGCGGCGGGCCCGTTTGAAGGCAAAAAGAGCTGGAATCTCGTCCCAAGGTATCTAGGATTGTGGCAAACACGATCGTGCTGGGCGGTCCAGGATCCGAGTAACATTGCTTCACATTTTATACCGGTACGGATTTCGCAGCTTCCCGGGCTCACAAACGCCCTTATATGGGGACGGTTTTCCGTGCGGCGGGCCCGTTTGAAGGCAAAAAGAGCTGGAATCTCGTCCCAAGGTATCTAGGATTGTGGCAAACACGATCGTGCTGGGCGGTCCAGGATCCGAGTAACATTGCTTCACATTTTATACCGGTACGGATTTCGCAGCTTCCCGGGCTCACAAACGCCCTTATATGGGGACGGTTTTCCGTGCGGCGGGCCCGTTTGAAGGCAAAAAGAGCTGGAATCTCGTCCCAAGGTATCTAGGATTGTGGCAAACACGATCGTGCTGGGCGGTCCAGGATCCGAGTAACATTGCTTCACATTTTATACCGGTACGGATTTCGCAGCTTCCCGGGCTCACAAACGCCCTTATATGGGGACGGTTTTCCGTGCGGCGGGCCCGTTTGAAGGCAAAAAGAGCTGGAATCTCGTCCCAAGGTATCTAGGATTGTGGCAAACACGATCGTGCTGGGCGGTCCAGGATCCGAGTAACATTGCTTCACATTTTATACCGGTACGGATTTCGCAGCTTCCCGGGCTCACAAACGCCCTTATATGGGGACGGTTTTCCGTGCGGCGGGCCCGTTTGAAGGCAAAAAGAGCTGGAATCTCGTCCCAAGGTATCTAGGATTGTGGCAAACACGATCGTGCTGGGCGGTCCAGGATCCGAGTAACATTGCTTCACATTTTATACCGGTACGGATTTCGCAGCTTCCCGGGCTCACAAACGCCCTTATATGGGGACGGTTTTCCGTGCGGCGGGCCCGTTTGAAGGCAAAAAGAGCTGGAATCTCGTCCCAAGGTATCTAGGATTGTGGCAAACACGATCGTGCTGGGCGGTCCAGGATCCGAGTAACATTGCTTCACATTTTATACCGGTACGGATTTCGCAGCTTCCCGGGCTCACAAACGCCCTTATATGGGGACGGTTTTCCGTGCGGCGGGCCCGTTTGAAGGCAAAAAGAGCTGGAATCTCGTCCCAAGGTATCTAGGATTGTGGCAAACACGATCGTGCTGGGCGGTCCAGGATCCGAGTAACATTGCTTCACATTTTATACCGGTACGGATTTCGCAGCTTCCCGGGCTCACAAACGCCCTTATATGGGGACGGTTTTCCGTGCGGCGGGCCCGTTTGAAGGCAAAAAGAGCTGGAATCTCGTCCCAAGGTATCTAGGATTGTGGCAAACACGATCGTGCTGGGCGGTCCAGGATCCGAGTAACATTGCTTCACATTTTATACCGGTACGGATTTCGCAGCTTCCCGGGCTCACAAACGCCCTTATATGGGGACGGTTTTCCGTGCGGCGGGCCCGTTTGAAGGCAAAAAGAGCTGGAATCTCGTCCCAAGGTATCTAGGATTGTGGCAAACACGATCGTGCTGGGCGGTCCAGGATCCGAGTAACATTGCTTCACATTTTATACCGGTACGGATTTCGCAGCTTCCCGGGCTCACAAACGCCCTTATATGGGGACGGTTTTTCCGTGCGGCGGGCCCGTTTGAAGGCAAAAAGAGCTGGAATCTCGTCCCAAGGTATCTAGGATTGTGGCAAACACGATCGTGCTGGGCGGTCCAGGATCCGAGTAACATTGCTTCACATTTTATACCGGTACGGATTTCGCAGCTTCCCGGGCTCACAAACGCCCTTATATGGGGACGGTTTTCCGTGCGGCGGGCCCGTTTGAAGGCAAAAAGAGCTGGAATCTCGTCCCAAGGTATCTAGGATTGTGGCAAACACGATCGTGCTGGGCGGTCCAGGATCCGAGTAACATTGCTTCACATTTTATACCGGTACGGATTTCGCAGCTTCCCGGGCTCACAAACGCCCTTATATGGGGACGGTTTTCCGTGCGGCGGGCCCGTTTGAAGGCAAAAAGAGCTGGAATCTCGTCCCAAGGTATCTAGGATTGGGCAAAACACTGATCTGCTGTAGGCGGTTTATGGACCGAGACACATGCTTCACATTTTCTACCGGTACAGATTACGCAGCTCCGGGCTCACAACGTCTATATGGGACTGTTTTGCGGCGGGCTGTTTGAAGGCAAAAGAGCGGGAATCTTCCAGGTATCCGGATTGTGGCAAACACGAAGGCTGGGGTCCAGGAGAGGAACATTGCTTTTTTTTATACCGTACGGATTCGCAGCTTTCCCGGGCTCACAAACGCCCTATAGGGGACGGTTCTCCGTTGCGGCGGCCCGTCTTGAAGGGCAAAAAGAGCTGGAATCTGCCCAAGGTATCTAGGATGTGGCAACCGATCCTCCCCTGACGCGGCCCCGCCGCCTCCCCTGACGCGGCCCCGCCGCCTCCCCTGACGCGGTCCCGCCGCCTCCCCTGACGCGGCCCCGCCTCTATTGCCGCGGCCCCGCTGTCGCCTGACGCGGACCTGCCGTCGCCTCTGACGGCCCCCGCCACTGCACCCTTCGGCCCGCCGCTGCTCCTGCCGGCCCGCCGCCTCACCTGACGGCCCCGCCGCTGCACCCTACGGCCCGCCGCCTGCTCCTGCCGGCCCACCACTGCACCTGCCGGCCCGCCGCTGCACCTACCGGCCCTCCGCTGCACCTGCCGGCCCGCCACTGCACCGGTCGACCTGCCGCTGCACCTGAGGGCCCCGACCCTGCATCTCCCAGTCGAGCCGCCCCAGCAGCCGAACCGCCCGGGAGCCGAGCCGCCCAACGCCGAGCCGCCCGGGACCCGAGCCGCCCTGCCGCCTAGCCGCGCGGGAGCCGAGCCGCCCTGCACCCGAGCCGCCCAGCAGCCGAGCCGCCCTGCGCCCGAGCCGCCCAGCCGCCGAACCGCCCGGGAGCCGAGCCGCTGTGCACCCGAGCCGCCCGGTCGCTGAGCCGCCTTTCTGGATAGCTGCACGACCTGCCCTACCTGGTGAGCACTGCCACTGCGAGCTCTTTCCCTACTGCTTGCACTGCGTCGCTGTTGTCGCCATGGCTACCCCTAGTGTCCTAGCTTTTGACGCTGAGGGTCGCGCCATTGATTTTGAGGTCTGGTTAGACGACGTGCAGCTGTTCTTACAGTGCGACAGGGCTGACGACCTTTCTCTCTTTGACCTCACCTTTGGCGCCTCTCCTGCTCCTGCTGCTGATGCTGATCCCGCTGTCCGCTCTAAGTGGGCCACCCGCGATGCTGCTGCACGTCTTGCTGTGCGTCGTCACCTCCCTACCTCTGAGCGTGCGCACTTTAGTCAGTACAAGAGTGCTCAGACCTTGTACGACGCTGTAGTTGCGCGCTACTCCTCCCCTGCCACTGCTGCACTGAGCCGTCTCATGCTTCCATACCTCTTTCCTGACCTCTCCGCCTTTCCCACTGTCGCTGACCTCATTACGCACCTCCGCACTAGTGACACTCGCTACCGCGCCGCCCTTCCTGCTGAGTTCTGCGCTAAGAACCCCCCCCCCCCCATGTACATCGCTCTCTACTACGTAGTCGCGCGCCTCCCTGACTCCCTTCGCGTTGTCAGGGACCACTTTCTCGCAGTCTGTCCCACCACCCTCACCGTTGACCTCCTCGAGAAGGCCCTCCTCGCAGCGGAGAAGAGTATCGTCGCTGTAGGTGCTTCTCGTGGTGACCCTCGCACCCCCATCTTTGAGGGGTGCTCTCCTTCCCCCTTGCTGCCCTCTGTTGCCTCTGCTGCTGCTGCCGACCTGCTTGGTCTTGAGTCGGTCGGCGCGGCGTCTGCCCCTAGTGGGAGACGTCGCTCCAGCAAGGGCAAGGGGGGCAAGGGCGCGGGTGGAGCTGGAGGGGGCGGTGGCGGTGGCGGCGGTGGCGGCGGAGGGAGTGGGGGTGGCGGCGGGACTAGTGGTGGAGGTGGTGGTGGTGGTGGCAGCAGTGGCGGAGACGGTGGTGGTGGTACCAGCGGTGGTGGTGGAGGCAGCGGCGGTGGTGGAGGCGGCGGAGGTGGAGGCGGTGGAGGCAGCAGCGGAGAAGGCGGTGGTGGTGGAGGAGGTGGAGCTGGTCGAGGTGGTACCCAGCAGCGTAGCGGAGGTGGTGGTGGCCAGCGCTCGCACCGGCAGCAGCAGCAGCGCTCGCGGGACATCCCTCCGCCTCAGCAGCTTCGTGAGTGGTACGCTGGGCGTCAGAGGGGTGGGGGTACTGGTCCCTGCACCTACGTTCTTCGTTCCGGCGACCGCGCGGGTGAGCAGTGTGGGGGTGCCCACGCCACCCAGCGCTGCTTTGGCCGCCTGACGGACGCTTGGCGTCAGCAGTTCCCTGGGGCTAGTGAGATCCCTCGCTGGGATGAGCTTCTCAGGGCTGGTGTAGCGATCTTTGATCTTGATTTTGATGCTATCCTTGCTGCTATGTATGTTGTGGATTATAGTGAGGAGACTGAGGGTTACCGTTGTTTCCAGCCCGACCCGGGCATTGGTACTGCTGCGCTAGGTGCTTGTGAGGCTGCTGCTCTAGGTGCCAGTGCGTCTGCGCTCTCAGGTACTGGTGAGACTGCGCTCTCAGGTACTGCGTCGTCCTCGTCCTCCCTCACTTTCACACTTGACTCCGGAGCTTCTCGCTCCTTCTTTCGAGACCGCACTACCCTTACGCCGCTCGGCCGGCCGATTGCGGTCTCCCTTGCTGACCCCTCTGGGGGTCCTGTCCTGTCTCACTTCTCCACTGTCCTCCCGTGTCCGGCTGCCCCTTCGGGCACCCTGTCGGGTCTGTACCTTCCCTCGTTCTCTACGAATTTGGTGAGTGGAGCGGACCTGCAGGATGTGGGAGTTCACCAGTTCACTCCTGCGAGTCAGCGGGTGACCCACTGCACGGAGGCACGCACAGGCCGACACCTGGCCACGTTCTTGCGTCGGCCGGGGTCGAGTCTCTACACCCTGACCGTTGAGTCTCCTCCTGTCCCTGCGTCTGGTCAGGTGGCTGCGTCGAGTCAGGTGTTTGCTGCTGCGTCCCGGTCAGGTCCTGAGTCTGCCCCCTGTTCTTGTCGCCTCCTGTCTCACGAGACTCTCCTGTGGCACCACCGTCTTGGCCACCCCTCCTTGCCCCGTCTTCGGAGCATGGCTTCCCGTGTCCTTGTCTCTGGTCTTCCCCAGTCTCTCCCTCCTCTCCCCTCCGGGCCAGGACCTTCCTGTGTCCCCTGTGTCGAGGGTCGCCTCCGGGCTACTCCTCACTCCTCCCACTTCCCCCCGACAGAGGCTCCCCTGCAGACGCTTCACATGGATGTGTGGGGCCCAGCCCCCGTCCGTGGGCAGGGTTACGAGCGCTACTTCCTGTTGGTGGTTGACGACTACTCGCGTTACACCACAGTCCTCCCCTTGCGCAGCAAGGGTGAGGTCACTGAGGTGCTGATCGACTGGATCCGCGAGGCTCGTCTCCAGCTCAGGAAGAGCTTCGGCTCGGACTTTCCTGTTCTGCGTCTGCACTCTCACAGAGGCGGAGAGTTCTCGTCTCGCCTTCTGCGGGACTACTGTCGTGCACGGGGGATCCGCCAGACCTTCACGCTTCCGGACTCACCACAGCAAAATGGGATTGCTGAGCGCCGCATTGGTCTGGTCATGGATGTCGCTCGTACGTCCATGATGCATGCGGCTGCCCCCCATTTTCTGTGGCCGTTTGCGGTGAGGTACGCGGCGCATCAGCTCAACCTTCACCCCCGGGTCTCTCGGCCTGCGATGTCCCCAGCCTTGCTGTGGACGGGGAAGGTTGGCGATGCGTCTGTGTTCCGTGTCTGGGGATCTCGGGCGTTTGTCCGCGACTTGTCTGCGGACAAGCTGTCCCCTCGTGCTGCTCCCTGTGTCTTCCTTGGCTTCCCCACTGACGCCCCAGGGTGGCAGTTTTTACCACCCCTCCTCTCGTCGTGTTCTGTCCTCCCAGGACGTCACGTTCGACGAGTCAGTCCCCTTCTACCGTCTCTTCCCCTACCGCACTCCTTCCCTCCCCCCTCCCCCGGACTTCCTTGTGCCGGTTCCCCCCCCGGTAGACCCCCTACCCCCTCAGGTTCTTGCCCCCTCAGGTGTGTCCCAGGTAGACGCCGTTGACCTGTTCGAGGTTACTGGTGACTCTGGTGCTGCTGCGGGTGCTGAGCTTGGGGGTGCTAACTCTGGGGGTGCTGTGCGCGGGGGTGCTGAGCCTGGGGGTGCTACTGCTTGGGGTGCTGGGCCTGAGGGTGCTACTGCGGAGGGTGCGGAGCCTGGGGGTGCTGAGCCGGGGGGTGCTGTGCCTGGAGGTGCTGGGTCTGGGGGTGCTGGGTCGGGAGCTGCTGAGCCTGGGGGTGCTGCGTCTGGAGCTGCTGAGCCTGGGGTTTCTCCTGCTGCTGCGTCTCGCCGGGAGCCCCTCTCTCCACAGGAGCTGCGCGAGTGGTTCGCTCGCCGCTGGAGGCGTGCTGCTGAGTCTGGAGGTGCTGCTGGAGCTGGGGCTGGAGCTTCTTCGACCGTTGAGGGTGCGGGTGCTGCCGGTCCCGGAGCTGCTGGACCTGCGGGTCCTCCCGGTGCTGGAGCTGCTGAGGGCGCTGGTGCTGAGCCTACTGCTGTTGGTCCTGCCGCTGGAGGTGTGGGTGGCGCTGGTGCTGTCGCTGAGGGTGCTGGTGCTGTCCCTGCTGCCTCTGGAGCTGCCGCGCGGCCTCGGCCGTACTTCGTTCCGCTCCTGCAGCAGGTTCTTGGTCTTTCTCCTCCAGAAGAGGGTCCACCGCCTGTCCAGTCGCAGTCCCTGCTGGAGCCTTCCTCTCCACTGCCTGCTCCCTCTCCTTACACTGGTCCTACTGGAGGTCTTGCTGAGCGTCGTGAGCCTGCGTCTCGTCCCGCGTCGCCTGTTCGCACTGCTCGCGCTAGTGGTCGCAGTTCGCGTCAGCGTCCTCCTCCTGTCCCTGGCACGCATCGGATGTCTTTGCGTCCATCCACTGCTCCTCTGCGTGCCCCTTTGCCTTCTCCTCCTGAGTCCTCTCTTCCTGCGCTTGCCGACCCTGAGTCGAACTCTCTTCGTGCTGCCAGTCCTACTGTCACGCGTCTGCTTGCTACTGTCGTCACTGACCCCTCTTTTGAGTCCACTGCTGCGTCTGCTCTAGTCGCTGAGCTCGTCGACTTTGCTGCTCGCTGTCGTCTCGACTACGCTGCTAGTCTTGTTGCTGAGTCTGCGTCTGTCTGTCCTCCGTCCGTCGGGGGTGAGTGTGCTCTTGGCACGGACGTCCTAGAGGACAGGCAGGAGGAGTTACAGTGTCTAGTGGCTGCTTCACCTCATCTCGCGTCTGTACTGCTTGCCCCTGAGGGAGACCCGGATGCACTAGACATCCCGACTCCGCGTTCTTACGCGGAGGCCGTAGAGGGTCCCTACTCCTCTCAGTGGCAGGCAGCTATGGATGCAGAGATGGCTTCCTGGAAGTCCACAGGCACCTACGTTGACGCGGTTCCCCCTCCTGGGGCGAACATCGTCAATGGCATGTGGATCTTCAGGGTGAAGCGGCCGCCGGGCTCTCCACCTGTCTTCAAGGCACGGTACGTTGCTCGTGGCTTCAGTCAGCGGCAGGGAGTTGACTACTTTCACACCTTCTCTCCCACCCCGAAGATGACTACTCTTCGGGTGCTGCTGCACATAGCCGCTCAGCGCGACTACGAGCTTCACTCTCTCGACTTCAGCACTGCGTTCTTACAGGGTAGCCTGCACGAAGAGATCTGGCTTCGCCGTCCACCTGGCTTCACTGGGACTTTCCCTCCTGGCACCCAGTGGAGCCTCCGACGGCCAGTCTACGGTCTCCGCCAGGCACCGCGTGAGTGGCACGACACACTGAGGACTACGCTTGCGGCTCTTGGGTTTGCTCCTTCTACTGCTGACCCGTCGCTGTTTCTTCGCACCGACACTTCCCTGCCGCCGTTCTACATCCTCGTGTACGTCGACGACTTGGTCTTTGCCACAGCAGACACTGCTGGACTCGCCTACGTGAAGTCCGAGCTGCTGAAGAGACACACGTGCACAGACCTGGGTGAACTGCGCAGCTACCTTGGCTTGCAGATCACTCGGGACAGAGCACGCCGCACCATTACCTTGACTCAGTCACACATGGTGCAGCAGGTCCTTCAGCGCTTCGGCTTCACGTACTCCTCGCCTCAGGCCACTCCTCTGCCTACTCGCCACTCACTCTCAGCTCTGCCTTCGGATGAGTCCGTAGAGTCGAGTGGTCCGTATGCACAGCTTGTTGGCTGCCTCATGTACCTGATGACCTGCACACGACCTGACCTTGCATACCCTCTGAGCATTCTTGCTCGCTATGTTGCTCCTGGGAGACACAGACCGGAGCACATGGCTGCAGCGAAGAGGGTATTGCGCTACCTGTGCAGCACGTCGGGCATGGGGCTAGTGCTTGGAGGGCGGAGTCCAGTGGTCCTTACCGGCCACGCGGACGCTTCTTGGGCTGACGACCAGGCTACGCAGCGGTCGTCACAGGGTTACACCTTCAGCCTTGGTTCCGGCTCTGTCTCGTGGCGGTCTACTCGCTCGTCTTCGGTTCTCGGCTCCAGTTGTGAGGCTGAGATCTACGCCGGGGCCATGGCTGCACAGGAGCTTCGCTGGCTCACCTACCTGCTAACTGACCTTGGAGAGCCGCCTCGTTCTCCTCCAGTGTTGTACGTAGACAACAAGGCCATGCTGGCCTTGTGTCGAGAGCAGCGCTTGGAGCACAGAACGAAGCACATTGCTCTCCGCTACTTCCTTGCTCGTGAGCTGCAGCAGCGTGGTCAGTTGCGACTTGCGTACGTGGCCTCTGAGGCCAACACTGCTGATGTGTTCACCAAGGCACTCCCGCCTTGTGACCATCAGCGTCTAGGATTGTGGCAAACACGATCGTGCTGGGCGGTCCAGGATCCGAGTAACATTGCTTCACATTTTATACCGGTACGGATTTCGCAGCTTCCCGGGCTCACAAACGCCCTTATATGGGGACGGTTTTTCAGTGCGGCGGGCCCGTTTGAAGGCAAAAAGAGCTGGAATCTCGTCCCAAGGTATCTAGGATTGTGGCAAACACGATCGTGCTGGGCGGTCCAGGATCCGAGTAACATTGCTTCACATTTTATACCGGTACGGATTTCGCAGCTTCCCGGGCTCACAAACGCCCTTATATGGGGACGGTTTTTCCGTGCGGCGGGCCCGTTTGAAGGCAAAAAGAGCTGGAATCTCGTCCCAAGGTATCTAGGATTGTGGCAAACACGATCGTGCTGGGCGGTCCAGGATCCGAGTAACATTGCTTCACATTTTATACCGGTACGGATTTCGCAGCTTCCCGGGCTCACAAACGCCCTTATATGGGGACGGTTTTTCCGTGCGGCGGGCCCGTTTGAAGGCAAAAAGAGCTGGAATCTCGTCCCAAGGTATCTAGGATTGTGGCAAACACGATCGTGCTGGGCGGTCCAGGATCCGAGTAACATTGCTTCACATTTTATACCGGTACGGATTTCGCAGCTTCCCGGGCTCACAAACGCCCTTATATGGGGACGGTTTTTCCGTGCGGCGGGCCCGTTTGAAGGCAAAAAGAGCTGGAATCTCGTCCCAAGGTATCTAGGATTGTGGCAAACACGATCGTGCTGGGCGGTCCAGGATCCGAGTAACATTGCTTCACATTTTATACCGGTACGGATTTCGCAGCTTCCCGGGCTCACAAACGCCCTTATATGGGGACGGTTTTTCCGTGCGGCGGGCCCGTTTGAAGGCAAAAAGAGCTGGAATCTCGTCCCAAGGTATCTAGGATTGTGGCAAACACGATCGTGCTGGGCGGTCCAGGATCCGAGTAACATTGCTTCACATTTTATACCGGTACGGATTTCGCAGCTTCCCGGGCTCACAAACGCCCTTATATGGGGACGGTTTTTCCGTGCGGCGGGCCCGTTTGAAGGCAAAAAGAGCTGGAATCTCGTCCCAAGGTATCTAGGATTGTGGCAAACACGATCGTGCTGGGCGGTCCAGGATCCGAGTAACATTGCTTCACATTTTATACCGGTACGGATTTCGCAGCTTCCCGGGCTCACAAACGCCCTTATATGGGGACGGTTTTTCCGTGCGGCGGGCCCGTTTGAAGGCAAAAAGAGCTGGAATCTCGTCCCAAGGTATCTAGGATTGTGGCAAACACGATCGTGCTGGGCGGTCCAGGATCCGAGTAACATTGCTTCACATTTTATACCGGTACGGATTTCGCAGCTTCCCGGGCTCACAAACGCCCTTATATGGGGACGGTTTTTCAGTGCGGCGGGCCCGTTTGAAGGCAAAAAGAGCTGGAATCTCGTCCCAAGGTATCTAGGATTGTGGCAAACACGATCGTGCTGGGCGGTCCAGGATCCGAGTAACATTGCTTCACATTTTATACCGGTACGGATTTCGCAGCTTCCCGGGCTCACAAACGCCCTTATATGGGGACGGTTTTCAGTGCGGCGGGCCCGTTTGAAGGCAAAAAGAGCTGGAATCTCGTCCCAAGGTATCTAGGATTGTGGCAAACACGATCGTGCTGGGCGGTCCAGGATCCGAGTAACATTGCTTCACATTTTATACCGGTACGGATTTCGCAGCTTCCCGGGCTCACAAACGCCCTTATATGGGGACGGTTTTCCGTGCGGCGGGCCCGTTTGAAGGCAAAAAGAGCTGGAATCTCGTCCCAAGGTATCTAGGATTGTGGCAAACACGATCGTGCTGGGCGGTCCAGGATCCGAGTAACATTGCTTCACATTTTATACCGGTACGGATTTCGCAGCTTCCCGGGCTCACAAACGCCCTTATATGGGGACGGTTTTCCGTGCGGCGGGCCCGTTTGAAGGCAAAAAGAGCTGGAATCTCGTCCCAAGGTATCTAGGATTGTGGCAAACACGATCGTGCTGGGCGGTCCAGGATCCGAGTAACATTGCTTCACATTTTATACCGGTACGGATTTCGCAGCTTCCCGGGCTCACAAACGCCCTTATATGGGGACGGTTTTCCGTGCGGCGGGCCCGTTTGAAGGCAAAAAGAGCTGGAATCTCGTCCCAAGGTATCTAGGATTGTGGCAAACACGATCGTGCTGGGCGGTCCAGGATCCGAGTAACATTGCTTCACATTTTATACCGGTACGGATTTCGCAGCTTCCCGGGCTCACAAACGCCCTTATATGGGGACGGTTTTTCCGTGCGGCGGGCCCGTTTGAAGGCAAAAAGAGCTGGAATCTCGTCCCAAGGTATCTAGGATTGTGGCAAACACGATCGTGCTGGGCGGTCCAGGATCCGAGTAACATTGCTTCACATTTTATACCGGTACGGATTTCGCAGCTTCCCGGGCTCACAAACGCCCTTATATGGGGACGGTTTTCCGTGCGGCGGGCCCGTTTGAAGGCAAAAAGAGCTGGAATCTCGTCCCAAGGTATCTAGGATTGTGGCAAACACGATCGTGCTGGGCGGTCCAGGATCCGAGTAACATTGCTTCACATTTTATACCGGTACGGATTTCGCAGCTTCCCGGGCTCACAAACGCCCTTATATGGGGACGGTTTTCCGTGCGGCGGGCCCGTTTGAAGGCAAAAAGAGCTGGAATCTCGTCCCAAGGTATCTAGGATTGTGGCAAACACGATCGTGCTGGGCGGTCCAGGATCCGAGTAACATTGCTTCACATTTTATACCGGTACGGATTTCGCAGCTTCCCGGGCTCACAAACGCCCTTATATGGGGACGGTTTTCAGTGCGGCGGGCCCGTTTGAAGGCAAAAAGAGCTGGAATCTCGTCCCAAGGTATCTAGGATTGTGGCAAACACGATCGTGCTGGGCGGTCCAGGATCCGAGTAACATTGCTTCACATTTTATACCGGTACGGATTTCGCAGCTTCCCGGGCTCACAAACGCCCTTATATGGGGACGGTTTTCCGTGCGGCGGGCCCGTTTGAAGGCAAAAAGAGCTGGAATCTCGTCCCAAGGTATCTAGGATTGTGGCAAACACGATCGTGCTGGGCGGTCCAGGATCCGAGTAACATTGCTTCACATTTTATACCGGTACGGATTTCGCAGCTTCCCGGGCTCACAAACGCCCTTATATGGGGACGGTTTTTCCGTGCGGCGGGCCCGTTTGAAGGCAAAAAGAGCTGGAATCTCGTCCCAAGGTATCTAGGATTGTGGCAAACACGATCGTGCTGGGCGGTCCAGGATCCGAGTAACATTGCTTCACATTTTATACCGGTACGGATTTCGCAGCTTCCCGGGCTCACAAACGCCCTTATATGGGGACGGTTTTTCCGTGCGGCGGGCCCGTTTGAAGGCAAAAAGAGCTGGAATCTCGTCCCAAGGTATCTAGGATTGTGGCAAACACGATCGTGCTGGGCGGTCCAGGATCCGAGTAACATTGCTTCACATTTTATACCGGTACGGATTTCGCAGCTTCCCGGGCTCACAAACGCCCTTATATGGGGACGGTTTTCAGTGCGGCGGGCCCGTTTGAAGGCAAAAAGAGCTGGAATCTCGTCCCAAGGTATCTAGGATTGTGGCAAACACGATCGTGCTGGGCGGTCCAGGATCCGAGTAACATTGCTTCACATTTTATACCGGTACGGATTTCGCAGCTTCCCGGGCTCACAAACGCCCTTATATGGGGACGGTTTTCCGTGCGGCGGGCCCGTTTGAAGGCAAAAAGAGCTGGAATCTCGTCCCAAGGTATCTAGGATTGTGGCAAACACGATCGTGCTGGGCGGTCCAGGATCCGAGTAACATTGCTTCACATTTTATACCGGTACGGATTTCGCAGCTTCCCGGGCTCACAAACGCCCTTATATGGGGACGGTTTTCCGTGCGGCGGGCCCGTTTGAAGGCAAAAAGAGCTGGAATCTCGTCCCAAGGTATCTAGGATTGTGGCAAACACGATCGTGCTGGGCGGTCCAGGATCCGAGTAACATTGCTTCACATTTTATACCGGTACGGATTTCGCAGCTTCCCGGGCTCACAAACGCCCTTATATGGGGACGGTTTTTCCGTGCGGCGGGCCCGTTTGAAGGCAAAAAGAGCTGGAATCTCGTCCCAAGGTATCTAGGATTGTGGCAAACACGATCGTGCTGGGCGGTCCAGGATCCGAGTAACATTGCTTCACATTTTATACCGGTACGGATTTCGCAGCTTCCCGGGCTCACAAACGCCCTTATATGGGGACGGTTTTTCCGTGCGGCGGGCCCGTTTGAAGGCAAAAAGAGCTGGAATCTCGTCCCAAGGTATCTAGGATTGTGGCAAACACGATCGTGCTGGGCGGTCCAGGATCCGAGTAACATTGCTTCACATTTTATACCGGTACGGATTTCGCAGCTTCCCGGGCTCACAAACGCCCTTATATGGGGACGGTTTTCCGTGCGGCGGGCCCGTTTGAAGGCAAAAAGAGCTGGAATCTCGTCCCAAGGTATCTAGGATTGTGGCAAACACGATCGTGCTGGGCGGTCCAGGATCCGAGTAACATTGCTTCACATTTTATACCGGTACGGATTTCGCAGCTTCCCGGGCTCACAAACGCCCTTATATGGGGACGGTTTTTCCGTGCGGCGGGCCCGTTTGAAGGCAAAAAGAGCTGGAATCTCGTCCCAAGGTATCTAGGATTGTGGCAAACACGATCGTGCTGGGCGGTCCAGGATCCGAGTAACATTGCTTCACATTTTATACCGGTACGGATTTCGCAGCTTCCCGGGCTCACAAACGCCCTTATATGGGGACGGTTTTTCAGTGCGGCGGGCCCGTTTGAAGGCAAAAAGAGCTGGAATCTCGTCCCAAGGTATCTAGGATTGTGGCAAACACGATCGTGCTGGGCGGTCCAGGATCCGAGTAACATTGCTTCACATTTTATACCGGTACGGATTTCGCAGCTTCCCGGGCTCACAAACGCCCTTATATGGGGAC